TGGGTCCAAAGTCACCTGGCCAGCTTCCACGGCTAAGGCAGGGCTTGGACTTACACTCTCCACTAGACCAAACTAGCTGTCTGGTATATCTGGCTAGATACACTTTCGCCATCCATGAACGGTTCAGTAGTTAATAGACTTGAATGCCTGGATCAGAGAGCCTCCAAGAATACAGGAGCTAGACCACCTCTAGCCTGACCTAAAAAATAAATACATATTAGATACATAATATTTACATAGGACTGACTCATATGTAAAATAGGAAGCAAGCTATTGGAGTGTATTGTAAAACTCAGTCATAAAGTCCCCCACCCACTCCATAATAATACTATGTCTGCAAAGAGATTTCCGGACATTTTGCTGATTTAGTGACTAATGCTACATCGTCTGTGACTCGCACTATTAGCAAGCACAGTAATCAGGAGATATGTGAGAATAACAATTGTTTCCTTCCTACTTTCTTATCTCTAGGATGCTTTTTTCTTTTTTTGAAATTTTGCTTTGACCATAAAAGTATTTCCCTAGAAAACATGAAAATCTCACAATAGGGAATAGTATCACTGATACCTTAACCTTAAAGCTTTCACCATACCTGTAACATACTCTAGACTAGAGTATAGAGTCACTCACTACAGTCTCAAGGTAGGATACAATTTCCGTAAGAAGCATCAATTTCCACCCAAACAGAAGTGTAAAATGCTTCATTGCTGTTCGTAAAGTTTTCCATAGAAAAGGGTTGCATATATTTTGGAGCAACTTTTAGGACTTATGGGAATGACAAAGGGAAACTGCCTATACTTCTTGTCAGAGATACTGCCTGCATGTGGAGATCTTCATAGAAAGATCAATAAAGAACAATTTATACATCTTGGTTTGGCTTGACTTTTAACAAATGTGCATGGATCTACTTAACAGTAATACTCATATAAATTTATAGGTTAATGTAGCCTTATTATTCTGGAAAGTTAAGTACAGCACATTATTATACATTCTTAACTAGACGTAGGCCGAAGTACAAATGGTTTTATTCCCCTACAAACATAAGTTGAGCAAGTGTACAAGTAAAGCTCAATTTACAGTGGCAGTTGGAACCGAAATTTCCACAACTTAGCAATGGCAGTTCCCTGCTGAACTGATTGCCTTCATTAATACAATCTCATGGTTGACAAGTAAGGCAACTTCATGCTACCACTGACTTGGTTGGGGGAAGCTGGCAAGTCCCAGATGGCTTGCACACAGGCAAGCAGTAAGTGGCAGCTGCTGCTGGATGGGGAAGAATGTGCAAGGAAGGTGCAGCACCTCATAACCACATGACTGGGTCAAAGAGGGTGTGTGAGGGTACACAAGAGTAAAATTATTATTATAATTATTAACCACATGTATATGCCACCCAATCCCGAAGGGAGGTGCAGCAAGACTACTTGGGAAGGGTGCATGGGAGTACTTAAGTGGCCAGCTTGGTGTGAATGCAGAGGGGTTGGGGGATTGGTTCAGGGAGACTTATCCTCAGCTAACCCACTAAATTTCTGAGGAAGCCACAAGGAGGTCACAAATGGAGGTCACATGGTTATGAGGTGCTGCATTTAGTCATAAATTCAAACCAGTTACCAAGCACCCAGATTGTAATCACTTGACTGTAGGGGTCCTGGGAGAGTCAAAAGCCTGAGAACTAGTCATATCTACCATTTGTTCAGGGCATTTTAACTTTGAACAGTTCTTGAATGAATGGGTGTAAGTCAAGGACTACATATATGTCCAATCATGTTGTCCTTATTGCTCAGATGCACTTTCCTTTGAGAGTCCGTAGATGTCTTGGAAACATCTGGTTATCTATTGCCAGAAAGAGAACATTTGAAGCATTTCTTATTTAATTTATGCTATCTTTATCCTTTTCAGGGGCGGGGGTGGTGGTGTTATGATTATTTACCCATTATCAGACACAGAAGGAAGCATTCAGCCTCATAAATGTCTCCTATTCTGGAAACAAAATACCGGTAGCAAATCGAAATTTTGGAAATACCCAATTACTATTTGTTCCAAGGTTATGTCATGTTTGCCTTAAAGATCTCTTGTATATATTTTAATTTTAAATCTGGATTAAAATGTCTGGCTATAATATAAATAGGACTTCTTTCTTTTTATTTATTGTTGTTGTTTTGGTGCCTTAACTCCTCGCAATTGTCCAAACAAGACTACTCAGTTCTCGCAGCAAGTTTTCAGAAGCAGATTTGCCATTACCTCCTTCCTGGGGGTGACAGAGAGTGACTGGCCTTACCCAGCTGGCTTTGTGGCTAAAGTGAAAGTAGAACTAATGAACTCCCAGTATGCAGTCTACACCAAACTGCAGTATACCACAGTCTCTATTATTGCAATCATTCATTCTATTTTCTCCATGGCACAGAGCTAAATTAAACTTTGATATGTTAATTTTTAGAGCCATATATCTCACTACATTATACAATTTAAGTCTCACTGCAAATAATTTGGATTTTCTACCAATAACATGGTATAATGTGCACGAAAAAGTATAAATGTATTTCCAACCAAGACATCCTTACTACCAAGCACTTAAAGCATTTCTTAAAAATATATATTGTTGTCTCATCTTCATTTGCAGCATTTGTGCATACATCTTATATACATTTTTTAAACCACAGCTTCTTTCACTTCATCATGTAAAAACATCTTTTTCACACTTCCCATTAATCAAATACGCATACTGTACTTCTGTAATATTATGTAACATAATTCTTGTTACCTTTTTCCAAGAAGCTTCCACATCCTCTTTCCATATATCTGTTTTCTATTCATTATAATAAAAAATTGATCTATCTTCTAATATTTGTTCATACATTCCCCAAAATCCACTGTTTACACTTGCAAAAAATTGTCTTTTATTTACAACTTTTCATTAATTTACTGTGTTTCATTAATTACCTCAACCATTCCTAATAATCAAATAATGCTTTCAGGTTTATATTAATTATTCTATCATGTTTACATATAAAGAAACACACTTAAACCAAGGTCCCTTCCAACCACCCTATAAATTCCATGATTCCAAGTATTTGGAATAAACAGATATTTTTCTAACAGATACTTATTGTTCTCTTACTTATGTTTCCAAATCTCCCAATAAATTTTTCTGTACTGTCTCATCTCCTTTCCACTCATACATTCGAAATGCCTAGCAAAATATTTTTCCCCTGAATTGCATTCATTCAAAATGTTGCATTGGGGTTTTTTTCCAAAACATTTCTGATACTTTCATTATTATCCTTCACTGGAGGTAATACACAACTAACACCAACTTAGAAGTTTCTACATTCCTACAGCCCAACAACAACTTAGATCAGGTGTCTCCAATCTTCGCAACTTTAAGCCTGGCGGATTTCAATTCCCAGAATTCTGGGAGTTAACTTTAAGCCTGGCGGACTTCAACTCCCAGAATTCTGGGAATTAAAGTCAACCAGACTTAATGTTGCCAAGGTTGGAGACCCCTGATTTAGATGACATCACTTCTTCTCCTTTCTGACATTCATTCTAGTCATTTCACTCATAATTAAATCTATACCTTCACTTTCCTGCACATATTCATCATTTGTATTCCACAACATTAGGACACCTTTACTAAGATTTATAACATCCTTCTTTTTTCTTAACTGCACAGATACATAACATATTTTTCTTTCTTCCATGTCATCTGCCAATTCTTGCTCTTTATCATGCATTCCTTTTATATTCCATATTCATCCCCAGACCATAGAAATTGATCTTGATCAAAACCAATTGATTGGTTTTGATCAAGGCTTTTACATAATATTTTAGTAAGACAGAGAAAGTGTGGATTTAGTGACCAACCAAACCATTTGTAACATTTTCTATTGTTGGAAGAAATGTCCTTCTGGGTTCAGGAGAAAAGACACATGGAAGCTGCTTGGAATGATGGTTTTAATGGTGGACAGGACCACATGGCTTCAGGTCCTAGCGAAAAAGGGGATCACATGCTTCGAAGATGTTGAGTGAAGAAAAAGAAGCGAAGGAGCTTGCTGAGAGTTCCTGAGTTTTTTATACTCTGTGTTCATCCCCACCACTCTGTTTCCTCTTCTGTGTAAGAAATGTATTCTGATTGGTTGTCATACTACCAGGGGTGGGGGGTAGGGTCTTAGCTAACTTTGTAGCCTGTGTGTCTTTTGAGTCCCAAGCTTGGTTGTGTTCCCAGGTGCCCTGTGGTGAGATGGGTAATGGGCTAATACTATCATGCCTTAATCCCATCACCCTGGCACTAAGGGGGAGATCTTTGTTATGTAGAATAGCATAATAGCTGGTTCAGGCATTTTAATGGTCCATTGACAAAAGTGGAGGCTATTAAGAGTGAGTCTGTTTCCTGCCTAAAAACATGTTTCTCCATTTCTTATCTAGGGAAATATAATATTCTGCCTTTTAAATATTTCCTAGGATGTTTCATTCTTCTAGGAGCGGAGTGGGTACTAACTTCCTACATTATTAAAACAGTGCAATCAATTTTGGCCAAATTTTGCTACAACACCTCAACCAAAGCTTAGTTTTATCCCAAGCATGTTGTTCAGGCTACTCCGCACAAACCAGAATTGTTATTCTAGAAACTATTTTCTAAACTAACATACTGCTGCCCACATCCCACCGACTCAGAAGTATATGCAATACACTAACAATCAGGGCATTTTACTGTATATCAAACCTTGGAAACTCCCAGCAAGCAAAACGTTGTGGCCTGCGGTAAATTCTTGGCTTCCACGTACTACAGGAATGTCTTCCCGTGATGTGTAATCAGATGGCTGATTCATCTTACCTGAGGCACTTGTCGGTTTGAGCCTTTACAACTGTAAATAGGAGCGACCTTGTTCACCATAAGGACAGGTGCTCTCTCATTGCCAGCTCAGTGTTTGCTTTCTTTACCTTGAGCAGGGAGGGGACCAGGCGTCACTCTGGAGTGGGGCTGAAGAAAGTCAGCCTGCCTCTTAAAACCTCACTTTCAGAAGAACCGGTTTGCAGCTGTCTGCAAGGTTCTCAACAGGCGCTTTCTTCTCTTGCCCACCATGGAAGCAGGGAGGGGGATCCTGAAAGAGGGCTTTCTAGTTAAAAAGGTAAGACTTCCTCCCCCTGATCTCTAACTCGGAGGCTTAATTATAACACCTTGTTTAAATAAGATTATTTATGATTGTTTAAATGATTACGAATAGTAATCTTCAACTGACTAGGAAAAAAAGTTGTAAATCTTAGAAATAACAAAATGATCCTGGAAGCTCTCCCGTGGTCACTAGGCAAGGATGAAGGAATGGAACTCGGATAACATGTCTTACAAAATTGATCTCGCTTCCTTTTCTTTCGTAGTTCTAATTTCATTTGTAGCCTTGCCTCCTTTTTCAAATTCATGTTCTTAGGCAGCCCCTAGATAGGCACTTGGCTTGCAGCTTTTGAATTATTATAGATCCATTGTAAGTGATGTGCAGTTGACTTTTACATTTTCAGAAATGTAACATTTTTCTTTGGAGTTTCCAATGGGCACCACCAATGGGCATGATGTAGCAAGTATTTTGATGAACGGTTTGAGGCTCAGCACACATATTTCCACCTTTACAGTAGGTGTGGTAGGAGGACAGCTGTGTTGATCTTTGGTAGCAAAAATTCAGAAAGAGTGTGGTAACATGTTTTCCAGCTAACCCTTTGTATAAAAGGCAAACTTTTGTCAGTTCACTTCAACAAATGCAAAGTGCAACTAAACTGATATAAGATTTCAATTAGAATGATGGAATGAGTTGGAGAGGGAAGGACAGGTTGGTTATGCAAATGAAGATTACATGAGAGACAGATCACAAGCACCTAATCAGTTAACAATTGGAATGTATCAAAAGTGCATTGTGTTTGTTGAGATCTTTTGAGTTAATCTGAAAATGTTTGATATATGTGAATTCAGCAGCTCTTCACTTAAACTCTCATCCCCCCCCCCCACCACCCCGGTTAACTTTGAGACCTGCAATTGAATCTCCCGAGAGGTAATTTCAATAGTGGCTTTTTATGACATTTTGTCACAATTTCTGTCATAAAAACAGTTTTCCACTGTAACAGCATAATGTTTTAGATTCCTACATTCTGAACCATGCAAATGGTGCCTAACGCTACCAAATGAGAGGCACTGAAGAGTTATGGCATTTTTTTGTCCATAGCAGCTTTTTGAGAAAAAAAAAATGAAAAGATTACATCTGAAGGATGATCTGTGCTTTAACACCTTCCATCTCAGAATAAAATTCTGTCAGCTAGACAGAATGATTGTACAATAGACGCCTTCTCTGAAATCACCTATGGCAATATATTGTAAGAATTTAATGATTTCTCAGAGCTTTATGGAAAGTCCAAAAAACACTGTGATCCATTCATAAACAATGCTGGCTTTTTCCACTGCTACATGGTTAATCCAGTGAGAATTATCATCCATAAATCATCTACTGAGAATTAAAAGGGCTTCGAGCCAGAGGGCTTCTATTCCTACCAATCAAACGAACCTCAGAAAGCCATGCTTTCTTTTCCTTAAATAGATATCACTTGTAAAAGAAAAAGAGAGAAAAGGTATGACAATTCTATCAACAGTCTTATGAATGAGGAAGGGTAGTTATATAATGCAGCACATGTACCGGGACAAAAGTGCAATTTTTCGACAGGTATATACAGGAAAATGCATGTCTAAAATACAGTGGGAGGAGCTGTTCCTGATAGTGGTGGATGAGGGTCTGAAGGCACCACTCCTTTCTCACCTGGTTCACCTTTCCATTTCTGCTTCCAAAGCCATTCCTTTCTCTCCCATCTTCAGCACTTCCCTATAAGTTCTGAAAGAAGTACACAGCAAGGAATAGAGAAAGGAAAACACCCAGTCTTATTGGTGTCCAGATTTGTTAGGAGAAAGAAGATGTAATACACTTTTCACAAGGGGAGAGTTTCGGATTTTTGTCCGGTTGCAGTTTGAAAACCAATGAGGAAATGTAGGCTAATACCACAAATTATATTACCTTCTGGACTGTTAGTAAAATTCCATGAAGAGGGCAGGGCAATTTCACTATCAATTTCACATTTTATCTGAAAGTCTTTTTAACAGATTAAACACAACTCCACCTAATTTTCAGTACATATGGGCTGGTTGCTTTTTTTTCTTTCAGAATGAAATACCTCTATTATTCAAAATCTTTTAGTTTTTATTATAATATAGTATCATCTGTAACAGTAGAGAGACATGGCGGTTAAAGGTGCAAGATTGAAAAATGGGAGCCCGTAAGTTCTAGACTCGTTGTAGACAGGAAGCCAACTGGTTGTCTTTGAGTCAGACACTCTAAGCTGTAGGTAGAAAGAAATATCAAATCATTCCTTTAAAAAATGCACTTGCCAAGAAAACTGCAGGGGCTTGTGGAGACAGTAACCTGGAAACAAGACTAGACTTGAAGGCATTTTAAAAAAAAATAGCTGTATGGGTTGTAAATGTGAGTGGGGCAATATTGGTTATATTTATTCTATGGTTTTAATGAACATTGTAATTACTTTTATGAATCTGTGTTCTGCTCTAAAATATAGATCTTATTAAAATAACCCTTGGGTTATTTTAATAGAAGCATAATGGAAAAAACTTAAATAAGTGTAACAGCCTCAGTGACTAGGATTTTGTTCAAAGTTCTATCAATCAGAAATGTATTAATGCAATAATTTATGAGTCGGAATAAACGTGTTGCTTTGTGTAATTAGTGTAGCAGGTAGAGCTGCTTTTGAGCAGCTTCAGAAACCACTATTTTTTCTTTCTTTTTATTGTTTGCAGGGTCACGTTGTCCCCAATTGGAAAGCAAGGTGGTTTGTTCTTCTCCAGGACAGGCTGCTCTATTATAAAGTGGTGGGAGGAAAGCAGGAGTCTTCTCCCAAAGGAAAGATTTTTCTGGACGGCTGTACAATTACTTGCCCGTGTTTGGAATATGAGAATAGGCCGGTAAGTTCCATGTTGGATTCTTTGCTTGGTTCTCTTATTACTGAGTTGACTTTAAAATGAGACAAAGCAATTAGGGAATAAAACAATCTAGGTCAGGGTTTTCAAACTCACGGCCTGCAGCCCAGATGCATAATGCACTGGTCACAGCCATGGCCAGTTTAGCAAAGGGGAGGGAGTCATGATATGTCACGTGACGTCGCCATGACACTGCGAGTTTGACATCCCTGACCTAGGTTTTGGGAATGACTTGGCATAATATTCTGAGAAAGCTGCTTTCTTTTCAAAGAGGATTCCCAAAATGATATTATGGCAGGAAAAAAGTGGAGAATGGGCAAAGTTGGAAAATGTTGGAATAGTACAACTGGGAAACCAGTTACTCATAACAACATTGAACTCTTTTACTGGATGTGGTGAAGCAGAGGCCAGAATCTGTCTCTCTGCAATGCTTTAACTGGGATTTCCCCAACGAGCACTTCTAATTCTATAATTTTATCATTCTAACCTAGTGAATCCAGTCAATGTAACCAATCACTCTTTAGTCATTTGACATAGTTAATCAGGTTCTTACACTAATTCAGATGATTGTATTTGCTGGCTTAATCTAACTGATCTAATCTAACCAATAACCTAATGCAATTTTAATATACAATTGTCCCCCAAGCTGCAAAAATCTACTTGTTCTCTATTAGTTTAGACTTGTTGTGTTGCTTCCCTGCATATTGCAGATCTGTTGGGTAATGTAGGGTTGCATTTTCTGATTAGTAAAATGGAAGATTAAAGGTAGACAACCTGATACATTTTCAACAGTTTAGCAGGGAATTGTTTTCAAGGCTGAAAATCAGGAACAGGGAAAGAACCATTGAAATAATTTTCTCATTCAGATTCAATTGAATGCTATACTGAAATTTGTATGTTAACCTAATGATGTTCTTCAAATCTGATGAGCTTTTTATCCTACTGATCTTTAAATGCATGAGATCCCATATGTTTATTATTATTATCGTTGTTACTATTGTTGTTATTATTGTTGTTGTTATTATTATCATCATCATCATCATCATCATCATCATCATTATTATTATTAACTCTCTCTTGCTCATTTGGCTAATTTATTTAATGGGGGAATGTCTTTTTTTAGCAATAAAACATAACTCTCGGTTGGGGTCAAATATGTAGATGTGTGCTGTAAGGCCCTTTTCTTTTATGGCTATTCCTATAAACCCTGCTTCTTATGGTGTTCTTTTGCAGTTAGTTATTAAGCTAAGGACAAAAACCAACACAGACTATTTCCTTGACTGTTGCTCTCGAGAAGAGCGTGACATTTGGGCTTTGGATATCACGGGTGCTATTCATGCTGGCAATCCAGTGCAAGTTCAGCAACTTCATCTCATGAGAAACTCCTTCAAACTTCCTACAAATATCAGTTTGAAGTACGTGGTAAATATGTTCTCAATCTGTTTTTGCATGCTGCTGGTTTGAACTGAAAACAGCAAGGATGGTTTCTGTATGTTAGGAATGAGAAGGCGATAGTTCTTGTTACTGAGCCAAAGATCTCCGGAACCCTAGGCTTCCAAGCCAGTGGCAAGGGATGCTTGATATTGTAGCTCATCTACATCTGAAAGGTTATAGGTGTTCTGACATAGGCTTCCCCAGCAGCATGAAGCCGAGTCATTGCTCCAATAAACCCTTTTATTTAATTTACAGTGAATTCCTCACCAGCAAAGTCTTTCCTCTCCCACAGTCTTTGAAGGAAGTTCACAATTACCTACCTTTATCAGGCTTGGAGAGTGGCCAGGCCGATATCTTTCAGACGCTGCAATACTTGGCAAGAATGCAGGAATGAACTAACTGTCTCCTGCAAACACCTCTCTCCTTTCACTCCTCTTTTATTCACTGTGGGAGGGGCCATTCACCATCCACTTGTGGCCTTACTCCCAAGTTGACCCTTGTTCCTTAGCTGTTCTGTTTGTCCGGCAACTCTGTGCATGCACACACTGGGAACAGGCTCCAGCTATTCATCTGCCTCACTGATATCTGACTACGAAGGTAGCTGATAACTGTCAGACGGCCCTGGCCGTATCGTTGCCTCTGATGCAGAGCACAAGTCAGAGCTTTTCCCAGACTCCAAGTCTGGCCTGTGTTCCTCCCCAACTTCCTCACTGTCCGAATCTGCTACCAACTCCGCTGGGCGCTGGAGGGCCACAACAATAGGTTTACAGCCTCCTCTTTGCATGTATACAAAATTTCCTGTACATACACTCAAAATTTCCTGATGCAGTTCCTCTGGAACTCATCTATGAATACATCCTAGTCTTCCATACTACATCATAACATTTTGTTTCACAATGTAATAAAGCAGAGATCATGGTTACTGGCCATAGAGGATGGCCATCCCTTGAGAGAAATGGATTAATTCGACTTGCATGTAAGCAGCACTGGATTCCCAACACGTTCTGAGTATTTTTTGATTGAAAGCATGCTATGGCTGAAAACTGTGGAATGTGGATAAATTCACAAAACTGGTTCTTTTGTTTGTTTCTCACTGACTCTCTTTTGATTTTTTTCTCCTCCAGTCATATTGTGGACAAAATGTATGACAACAGCAGCGGAATCAGACAAGGCAGTTTGTATAAAGAAAGCTTTACAGGTAGATATGTTATCAACTTTATTCTTCATTATGCTCCTCCATAGAGACATTTTCTACCAGAAAACATTTTCAGAACCTGTTTTAATTATCAAGTGTGTGAAAAATAGTAAAGAATGCATTTTCAATTTCTTTTATTCCACTGCTTGCAAAAAAAAAACAAAAACAGGTGGCACCTTTCAGAAATTGCATGGAAATATGCTTTAGAAGATGAAGCTACTAGAGCAAGCATGTTAGTGGTTAGAGTGCTAAATTAAATCAAACAGATTCAGATTCATCTCACTAATCAGTTATAAAACTCACTAAGAACTTCTGTGGGGAAAAATGGAGAACTGAAGACAGCTCCACTAAGTGTGGAGCCAACAATCATGACAGGAAGAAGAGCCAGCAAGTAGACACCCCCCCCCCTCTTCATAATTCTTCTCTGGACAAATCTTGGACTTGAGATTGCACATACATATTCTATATAGTTGTTCCTCATGAGTAGGTTGCAAAACAATAGTGGGTTTAGAGCTCTGGAAGATGAGAGAACAGCCATCTTGGTCAAACCAGAATCAGCCTCTTCAGAAGGATACTGAGTTTACCAGCATCCCTTTCTAATCACTTTCAGAGATTCCTTGTTAACTTTTCAGCTATTAGGAACTTTTGGATTGAAAAGTTTGAAAAAAATGGGTGATTTTGCTTCAATACTTAGCAAAAGATATTTTGAATAGAGTTTAAGGATTATTTTTTGTAAAACAACTTTTTTTTAATAAACAGAAAAAGGGTGACATTTTCCAAAACTTTGCTTTTGGAAAATTACAAACCGACTATGAGTCCATATAAATTTGAGATAAGAATCCTTCCCATGGGAAAAATGTTTTTGTTTTTTAATTCTTTTTTTTTCTTCAAAAAACATGATGAAACTTTAAAAATTGGACACTAGAGGAAATTAGAAGGAATTAAAATTATAATTAAAGGAAAATATGTAAATGTAATCTATTAATACAGAAGGGAGCAACATATTTTAACTGTGAAAGTACTGATGGATATTTTTGGACCCAGAAGTTAATCTTAAGAGTGTCTGCTCTTCTCTATTTTTTTTAAACTAGACATTTCTTGGGAAATATATGTTGGCAGCAACATACAGTATAAAATTTATCAGAGGGACATAGTATTGCTGTCTCCCCTTCTACCTGTCTTGGAGATCAGATGGCAGTAGATATTGTTTGTCTGATTAACTCCATTTATTCCTTTCAGGCTCCATACTGGTGGATTGGTTGATTTCCAGTAGCTTTGCAGCTTCCCGGCTTGAAGCAGTCACACTGGCCTCTGTGCTGATGGATGAAAATTTTATTAAACCTGTGGGAGTTCGCAGCACTGAAGCCATAAGGAATGGAGATTTGACTGAGCAATTTTTGGATGACTCTACTGCCTTGTATGCATTTGTAAGTGATGCAAACTCTGAAAGTTTAATCTCCTCCTGTATACAGATGAGATTCAGAAGTTAGCTGTGTCAATTTACTTTGCACAGTCAAATAGAAAAAAAGCAGGCAAACAAATGATAAAATCTTGATAAATGACTTGTACTTTCTAAATACTTTCAATGCGTTCACCTATGATATTAATTGGACTTTGCATAGGTGTGGCCTACATAGATTTGGATGTAAATATAACCCTGGAGAACACAGCTCACAAGGATGAAATCTCTCCTTGGATTGTGCATTTTTGTTACTGTGATTGTTTGTCAGGATGTGCTTTAGGAATAACAACTAAGCACTGCAAAATTGTTCCTGGTGGGCACCATCTTATATTAATAAGCTATCTTCTTAACTTTGGATAAAGATAGTAACAACAGCCAAGTACTCTGCAATGGGCAGCTCTGGATTTGCCTTCCATTTTAATTTCCCATTATTAAAAAATAATTAAAATGGCTGAAGAGGAGGAGGAGGAGGAGAATAACTTGGAGATTAAAGCTTGAAAAAATGAATGAAAATCAATCATGCTGAAGGATGAAATCAGTATTTGTAAAACTTGTACTGGCTCTTTAGTAACATAGTTCAATGCTTTTGTTTTTATTGCAGGCTGAAAGCTATAAGAAAAAAATTAATACTAAAGAACAGCTCAATATTAATATACTTGAACTGAGTGGCACAATTTTAAAGCAAGGCTTTTTGATAAAACAGGTAACCATGACTTTAGAATTTCAAGATAATCATGGGATGGGGATGAGGCAATATTTAATTGGTATCTTCTAAAGCTCTTTCTGAAATAAAATGGCATTTTAATAGGAAACCCTCACAATTTAATTAATATACAATTAACAAATTAACATATGAACAAGATTTAGATTGTAGCTAATTGAAACTCTTCCCACTAAGTTTCTGTTGAAAAGAAGTGTTAGAAATAGAGAAAAATAGAAGCAATCTTCTAACCACAATATGCGACTTAATGAACACATAGTTTTTCTTTCTGTCTGATACAGAAAGTGACACGCAAGCATCATTGTCTTATTTTTGGCATGGCAAAATGTTATTTCTACACAGCACAGTCTACACCAGAAGGCAGGCAATAGGATCACACATAACTTCTGAAAGCTTAGGGAATGGCCCTCAAAAGCCACTAACATTTATTTACAAATTGTAATTTGTAATATGACAGGTAGGGGGAAATTATTTAAGTACATGCTGGAGAACAATCTTATTTAATGATATTTATTTATTTTTGTTAAATGTAATTAAATAAAATCTAATCTTATTGTAAATTCAGCCATTGAGTTGGGGAATGCAAAGGCCCTTGAAAAAATTAGGCAAAAAAAAATGTAGGCAAAAAATTTAGGATCATTCAAACAACTTGGTGGATTATGGTATTTCTTCACATATTTCAATGTATCAAATATTTCTAACCATTTCATTTATGGCAGCTTTTTGGTAATAATAAAATCAGTAGATCAACTGTGTTCTACCACCCCTAACTGACCTTCATCATCTTCTAATGGTCTCACAAGGTTACTTGTGCTACACACAACCTCAAGAAGGTGGCCTTGAGTGCCAGCAGCTGTTTCACAGAGCCAGTCCAGGTGTGTTTTGTTAGCAGCAGAAGTAAGAAGATGATGAAAATCAGTTAGGGACAGGTGGGTAAGGACCATGGAGTGCAGGAGCAAAAGGACCTGCAAACGATGGGGGGAGATCGGGTGGGTGAGGCGTGTTGAAGCGCATCCTGGGCAGAGGTGATATTCAGCAGGTTCTGACCAGTTCTGGAGAACAGGTAGCGGAAATTTGGAGTAGTTTGGAGAACCGGTAAATACCACCTCTGATTGGCCCTGTCCCCATCTATTCTCTGCTTCCCGAGTCCCAGCTGATCGAGAGGAAATAGGGATTTTGCAGTAACTTTCCCCTGGAGTGGGGAGGGAATGGAGATTTTACAGTATCCTTCCCCTGCCACACCCACCAAGCCATGCCCACAGTAAAAAAAATTGAATCACACCACTGATCCTGGGGGTTTCAAATGCAAGAGGGAGTTGCCAAGCGCCTGAATTTTTATCCGATGACCACAAGGGTTCTTCAACAGCTGTAATTCTGGGCATAAGTATCATTTGTTGAGTGTCATCATAACTTTCAAACAGTCTCTGAACGAATGGTTATTAATTGAGGTCTACCTGAATTATCCCTTAGCTTGTCTTCTGCAAAGATAAAAGGGAGTAAACAGATAATGCCATATTCTTTCTCTACTATTGACAATTACAAGAGATCCGTGTTTTGGAGAAAGAAAATTAAATTTATTTTCCAACTTTCAGGGGCACAAGAGGAAGAACTGGAAAGTCAGGCGCTTTGTCCTGAGGTCTGATCCTGCTTTCTTACATTATTATGACCCCACAAAGGTGAGACAATGGCATTGCAATGTTCGAAACTCCCTGCATGTGTGCCTTTGGAGAATGCCCCCCCCACCAAATGCCTTAAGACTGTTGCTGATGGGTAGGAGGAATGAATTCTGAATGGATTTCAGTAAGGCTGGGGGCAGATCCATTAAGATCTCCACTGGATCCTAAATGGCCCATAATACTTAGAGTACATATTGAGTCGTTTGCACTGTGTTGTAGTTTGTCTTCATATTAGTTGTAAATCGATGTGCCAATTAAATACAAATCTAAATCTGTATTAAATTAAATCTACCTGTCAATGACTACTTCAGCTTCAACCCCATTCTTAAAAGGTCAGTAGGGGTGTTCAAAAGTGCCCCAGCATGCCTAACGTCCCTGTCCTACTGTCCCCATTTATTTGTACCCATTTCCTGTGTTCTTATTCCTGTTTATTCTTATTCCTGTTATCTTGTACATGAGTGACAATCTAAATAAATAAATAAAAATAAAATAAATAAAAAGCTAGCCTAATATAACTCATTTGCTTTGGGAACAGATATACCTTGTGGTTATTGCTTTCTGTCATTGAAAAAAACACAATTGGGTTTGGGGATGAGACAAGTTATATTATGGAATTTCAGCAAGATACATATTGCTGAAGGTTCCTCCCATGCAAATACGATACATATAGGAGTCCTGTTCTCGTTCTCTCTCTCTCTCTCTCTCTCTCTCCCTCCCTCCCTCCCTCCCTCCCTCCCTCTCTCTCGATTCTAGTTAGAGAATGAAAATCAGTTCAGGAGAAAAATAGTCAGATTTGACATAAAATGATTTTTTTTTGTAAAAGTTTTTTTATTTTTCCTTTCAAATTTTTATAATTGTTATTTAACATATGTCAATTCATATCATTTTTTCACCTGTATCTTTACATTTTAATATTTTTTTCATTTTCCCTCCCCCTATATTAATCATGTGTCATCTGAGATACTGATTTTATGTTTTGTTCCTTTTTCTTTCTATTTATACCTTTTTTCAAACCCCTCGTAAAATCTCCTCCATGTCCTGTAGTACACTGATTCCTCTTTGTCCTTTATTCTCAATGTCAACCTGTTCATTTCTGCACAATCTAATGATTTTTAATGCTACTCAGCTTAGAGTTCTACAACGTTATTCCATAATTTTGTTAGGAAGAAGTGTTAGGAAGGTTTTGCTGAGTGGGAGCCACCCAGAGTTCGATATAAGATGGACAGTTACTGTATATGTTTTTAAATAAATAAACTGTTTATCAGAGTCATCTGAAGACTCTGGTTAGATCTCAAGTCATTTCCTGTAGTCTGTAATTCTATGCTGCTTATGCTCGAGATCTGGGCAAACTCATCTATGTTTGAAGCCAGAGTAAAACACAATGTCTCATTTAATGATCGCATTGCTTAGTGACAGAGTTGCTTGTCTCAGTTATGCTCATTACCTGTAGTCATCTTTTAAATTTTGCAACTCTCTGAAGTTTGTGAAGAAACCCTTTTGTAGGAAGTCTTACCTTATCCCAACTCCTAGTTCCTAACTATCAGCTGACCCTAACACTCTTTTAAACAAAATAGCCTCAACCCCCCCCCCCAAACCACTCGAGATTTTGCATATGACAAAATAGTTACACAATACATCAAGATTGGAGTAAGTTGGGGAGAGGAACCTAAGAGATTTTTAACATTTCCCTGTGCATAGGTGGTAAGAATGTCTCTTTCTCCAGAACCATAGTGAGGGTTCAGGGCATGGCTGGGATTCTTTGTTACTTGTTCTTATGAGTCAGCAGAAGAGAAGTAAAGTCCAGACTGTCTTCAGACAGCTTTTTAAAGAACTGAAAAAATAGAAGTGTTGGCAGCATAGGAGTGCCTTCAGGCAGTGTAAAGTGTTTGTGAAAGTGCCATTTAATCCCCAGGTTGTTGAAACCCTTTAATCAACTGTGGAGATTATACCTAAGGCTTAATGTGTCACACAAATTTAAAGATGCTGCTATTCTCACCTTGTTGAAACTAAAATCTGAGACAAAAACATTATCACTACTTTTCTGTTTCAGTTTCTGCCAAATTGACAATGGCAACCATTTTAAGATGTCCTGAATCACATGTGGTAGAGCTTAGAAGGCAGTGTCCACATGCTAACATTATCATGGTTTATCACAGAGGTGTCAAACTCACGTCATGGCAGTGTCACATGACGTATCACAACTTTTCCCCGCTTCGCTAAACAGAGCATGGGTGTGGCCAGCGTGTGATGCATCCACTCCGCGGGCCGGGAGTTTGACACCCCTGCTGTAGAGCATCTCCTTAAATAGAAGCAAACTGAAGCAAAACTTTAACTGCTTATGTCAAATTTGTTGAAGGGAATGTAACATTTTGATTATTTGCTTTACTCACATTGGTCCACTTTTTTTTTTCTCCTATAGGAAGATAACAAACCAGTTAGGGGATTTTCTCTCCGTGGTTGTCTTGTTTCAGCACTGGAAGACAATGGAGTCCCTACAGGCAAGTTTTTACCTTGCAAGGTGCAGTTTTACTGTTATCTTGATAGCTTTCTTTTTTTGTTCATTGATAAAGATTGGAGTGGTGGTCCTTCATTCATTACTTGCAGGGGCATTGGAAGCAGCCAATGTTACCCCCCACTCCCCTTCTTCTGCCCTTGTCTCATTTCCAGACCATGTGTTACACAATATAGGACAAGCACAAAACACAAGAGAGCAAATGGAATCAGGATTTTGCCAGGAACTCCTTTTATCACCCAGGATAGAACTATTTCTGCTAAGGAATGCTTGTGATAAAGAGCTCCTAGAGCCCATCCAATGGATCAGATTTTCTGCTAGGGCCAGTTCTTAAAAGAAGTGGGAGTGGGGTTACCTAAAATACAGATGCTCCACACCCTAACTCCCTCTCATTTTAGCCATATTATACACAAACAAAAGCACAACCTTCTCAAAGCCGTTGCAAAAGCAGCTGCCCAAAAGAGAAAACGGGGGACACACACACACGGACACACCACAACTTCACCAGGATAGCTTAGGGGAAGACCATCACAGCAGCAGAAATGGCTGTGGTTTCTCTTCAGAAATGAAAAACGTAAGCAGCATTGCTTAGTTGCTCACATGGCCCATTTGTCTCACTTTTGAAAGCATTTTATATACGCATGACTTAAGCAAAGTACATGTAATGCAGAATGGAAAAGCAGGTTCAGTGAGTCTTCTACGGCACCATCTTCTGACATTCTCCCTCTGAGAGATTGCTGGTACTTCAGCAGCTTTTTGTCTTTTGTGCGTGTGTGTGTGTGCCTTTGAGTAAGTTTTTGAGTCCCAGCAACCGGCTGGACAAGTCCTCACAGTTTTCCTGACAAGGTTTTCAGAAGTGGCTTGCCACTGCCTCCTTCCTAGGACTGAGAGAAAGTGACTGGTGCAAGGTTGCCCAGTTGGCTTTTTGCCTCATGGAGGACTGGAACTCATTGTCTCCCAATTTCTAGCCTTAACCACTGCACCGAACTGGCTCTCTTTACAGATAGTCTCAACTTATGACCACCATTGAGTCCAAAGTTTCTGTCGCTAAGCGAGATAGTTACTTGTGCCTCATTTTATGCCTCTTCTTGCGTGGTTGTTAAGTGAATTACTGCAGATGTTAAATTATTAGCACTTGTTAAGTGAATCTGGCATCCCCACTGACTTTGCTTGCCAGAAGTTTGCAAAAGGTGATGATCACATGACCCTGGGACACTACAAACATTGCAACCGTCATAAATATTGTCAAATGTCTGGATTTTAATCACATGACCATGGGGGTATTGCAATCATCCTAAGTGTGAAAAATGTTAATAAGTCACTTTTTCAGTGCCTTTGTAACTTCGAACGCTCACTAAATGAATGGCTGTAAGTTGAAGACTGTCTGTATGTCCTATTCAATGACTTTCTTTTCTTTTGCAGGAGTGAAAGGAAATGTGCAGGGCAACCTCTTCAAAATCATCACAAAGAATGACATTCACTACTACATACAGGCTAGTTCCAAGGTGGAAAGAGCTAATTGGATTGAGGCAATCAAGCCACTAACATAGGAGATGTACCAACGTTGCAATTATGGGACAATTTAATACAGGGGCATAAAAAGGAACTGGGTTTTTTTTGAGATTGCTGGTTAAGTTCTTTTAGCCTGGCATGAAGTTAGTACCTGACAGATCTACTATATTTAGGCTTTTTCTCTGAGGCAAGGACACACATCCACTTCATCAGAAGTTCCATAAATTCTGCAATATGCATGTTGATTGCTTGGCACTAGTCTGCAGTTTGGAATATACTACCCAGAACCCCCATCTGAAATAGAGCTAAATTGGCTGCTGGGGAGAAACTAACAAATCCAGCATCCTGGGACCAAATCTGGCTCTTTCAAAATGATTTCATGCAAATTCCTTAATTATCTACTGTATGTCTTTAGATGTCTCTATACTTGCAGCGCCTCTTCCCTCCTATTTAACTTGTGGGAAGCTTCAGGAATGACAGCATTATTTGGGAAGGTGGAGACCAAGAATGTTTCTGTGATATAAGAAAGCTTAGCATTTACATTTTGAAGACAGGAGCAAGCTCATCATATGAATATTGTCATGGAATTCTAACTCATAGTGCTCTAGATTTCCTGAGAGAACAAAGTTTGCTGCTTGCCTCATAACCAGACCCAGCATGACTTTAAATCAATTATGTTGTCAGTTAGACCTGCCCTACAGGATTCCTGTAATGAGAGATGGAACTGAACAGCTATCTGGGTACTACATTGAGTTCCTTGGAAAAGGGACATTTCTATAAAATACACGGGAGGGGGGGCAATATGAGAAGCCTCATGTGCTGAACGGTCAGCTGGCTGCTGTTCTCATAGGGTGGGAGTAAGAGAGGAAAAATGTTTTAAGATATAATTTGTATTTATAATCTGAGCATAAACTTACCTAGAATTGGTGTTAGAAAGGTCACTTACATTTTTACCATTAACACTGTGATGGAGGACTCCAGATGCTGCCATGCACCCCCTCCCTCCAATTCCACCTCCATTCATTGTATATAATCCTGCATGAGTGTAAACACTGAGTGGTGATTTAGATGTTCATATTTTTATTTAAAAAATAAACCATTTTTTTACTCTCGTATTCCTTCGCTTCCTAAAATTTCTTTTTAAAAAGTAATCATTTGAGGACTCTGAGATCCCACTAAGTGAAAGCATTTTGAGCGGTGCTACTAGGTTTAAAAAGCTGGATAAGTATACCTCAAAGCTGAGTCTAATGTTCCTGAATATAGAATTCTCTGGGAAAGTGCTACATCTCAAACAAAATTCCTTTTCTCTTAATTCCAAGACAACTCTGAATATCCATTGGCAATTATATTTAATAAAAAGTATTAATTACAGTGTTAGGAAGCTTTTAGGTCTACTATTCAGTATATTCTAATGTACTGTGTGAACATGGTTTCTGTTTGCATCTGTATTTTTTTTCTTTCTGATGGGTTTTTTAAGTCTGTAGTTATAGGTTCCAAAAAGTCTCTTACATGTTACTCTATATAATAAAAAAAAGGAAGGAATATCTGTGGTCCACTTGCAGATTTGCTAACCACCCTAGAAAAGTCTCTGTTTTGCTTCATTGGAAACAACTTTAAAGGGAACATTAACAGAAAAAACTTTTGACTGAGCATTTAGGACTGACTGTGTTTTCAAATACTGATGTCAACACATACCCCTAAATTTTCAAAATAATTATTTTCTGGATGTTCCGATCCTTGAAGTTTACTGTAGTAAATTTATTCTAGCATATCCCTAAAGTTATCCACAGCATTGCCATTTGACTTAATTTAACTGTTTTTGAGTTGGATTCAGACCTCAGATTTATACAGTCATTATTTTATTTATTTCATTAAAATTATGAGTGCCAATTTTATCTTATTGTTTGGCTAATTATCTTCACAAGATGAAAGTTGCATTTTTATAATGTCTAAATGCTTGCTTTATTTTTTATGTAATTTATATTCTGACTTTTGTGCAGGAGCTTGAGGCAACACCCATGGTTCCCCCCCCCCCCAATCCCCTTAGTAACAACCCTGTAAGATAGGCAGGGCTGAGAAATTTTGTGTAGAAAACCATGTGTAGACAATGTTGGGAGAAAACATCCCAGTTAACATAATAGGACCCTGGACTTTTAGGAAAAGATGCTCTCATTTGACAATTGTGTATAAAATCATTTTGGCAGCTTCACAGTAACCATCAATAACATAAAAATGTTTGATTTTTGTAGCACAAGCTTGATTCAGCACTGGAATCTACTCTTCAAATCAAATATTGTTGTTGTTTGTTTTTGCTAAGAGAATGCCCTGAACGTAATTGGAGAGAAAAGTGAGATGAAGTTCAGTGCAACACAAAAATATTGTTTTTATTTAAATAAAGTAGAGATAGTTACACACAATTATTTTATTTTCATTTTTTTTCAACATAGCATACAATTTCCCTGGGAACAAGCTCCAATGAACATAGTGTAGCTTACTTCACAATGTTAAAAAAATATGCTGAAAACATCTTTTGCATATAGTTGTCTTCCTCTTAGAAATTAATATAAAATCTCTGTGCACCTGCAGTTCTCTCATCCCAAAGCTTTCAACCAGATGTAACAGAATAGACCTGCAAGACTCCCAGAATTCTGAACTAAATAAAAAAAAACATTTAAATTCTTTTGGCAGGAGGGGGTAGAATTGTAAGAAAACATAACATTTCCAGATGCACACATAAAGGCAAAAAAAAAAAAAAAAAATTGAAAAATCACCTATTGCCGTAATAACAGCTGTAATGATAGGGGATTATTTATTACAGAGATGGAGAAGGTGTGACCCTTCAGGCTTTGGGTTAAAACTCCTAGGATTTTTTGCAGTTGGTCATTTTGCCTAACACCTGCTGAGTGTGGTAGCTCAACATTGAAGAAGGGCATTTTGGATTTATTATTTTCTTCAAGCCACCTTGGTAAGTTTGAGGTCTCCTGAGATTTGCAAACCAGTCATCCTTTGCACAGGCTGCACACGGTGATTGAAACTACACAACTGACGTCCGTCAAGCAGGATTCGAATCTGCTGATGTTCACATAAAAGTTCCATCTGAAAATGAACAACAGGCTAAAGAAATTGTTGGAAAGTTGGCATGCACACATCTCGCAGGTAACGTGTCTAATACTTCAAGCAAGAACACTAAAATTCCAATCTTCAGTAAACTCCTAAGATATAAGATTTGGGCTACATGTACAAATGCACTCATCACCAAGTACTCTTAAAGACTACCAGTTACCCCAAACAACAGGCTGGAAACTATTGGTTTAGTTTATCCTCTTTTCCTGTAGAAAGTAAAACAGAAGGCTATGTTTTGTATGAATGTGGTCACAAATTCAGTCACTCCAGGTTAAAGCATGGTAGGCAACTTCTGTTTTGTTTGTTTTAAAATTTATTTGCTACCCATCACATATCCAATAATTCTGAGCGACTTACAACATAACTTCCTGCAGCTTGGAACCACACTTTTTTGTCAATATTTTTGACCTGGTTTATAGATTTTATAATTCTTGCAGAGTGAAATGTCAAAAGATTTGAAGAGCTGGAGAATGTTGCTGTTGAAGATTTGGAGGATTGTCAGTTAACAATGGGAATTAGGTAACATAGTTTTTTCCCCCTTTTTATATTATTTGGGATGGAGTCAGGGCAACTGAATGGAGCTGAGCATCTTCTGGCCAGATGCTCTTCCTGACACCGATGTGGAGTTCACAGCAGATATTTTCTCCTTGTGCCTCATAAACATCTATTGCTGCCTCTTTTTTGAGTGGGAGGCAAGCGTCTTGCACTGTAGGCCACAGCAACCGCTCAAGAATTGGACAACAGATTGCCAGGCATAAACTTATTAGAATGTGCAATACTTCAAATCCAAGAGAGAGAGAGGGAGGGAGAGAAAGATATTACCTTAAATGAGTCATCTGCTGTAAATGGAAAGTAGGGGATTGTCTTTTCCTCCTTGCCCCATTTCCCAGCAATTTGTGAATTCCGGACAATAGATTTCTCAGTAAAGCTGACTACAAGTAATAATCCAATATCCCTGGTTGTGTGATCATCCTTGGAGTCACAAAGCAAAGTCACTGAAAAACTACAAGAAAGTAATGCATCAAATAACTACAGATTTTAGCAATGCAAAATGACAGCATGTTTTATAAAGAGCTATTCTTTCTCTTTCTCCTTCATAATATTACATGCCACCCATTATCACTAGGCTGTAAGGGATGTACCAAATGTTAAGAACAATCTGTACAATAAAACACTATAATTGCCCTAGAATAAAATAACCCCTCAAATATAAAGAATCTATAAAAGAAGCAGCATCTTCCCAACCATTAAATTTCGAAATTCCATCCCAAACGTTTTCCAACCATGTGTACATAGTCATTTATTTCTACAAGTAGCAAATATGATGTACTCTACCAGCCATAAAAAAGCAATTATATTTCTCCTAACTCAACCTTGTTAATATAATACTAAAAGTGAATGAAA